AAAAAAAATTCTCTCATAAGCCACAAAAAGATGTATATAGGATGTTTATCTCCATGTTGTCATGGGTAGCAAAGAGTCAGAAGTTGGATCGCATGAGCAGTAAGATGGATAAATCAAAGAAAGGCCATAAAGATACCAGAGCTTCAGGCAACACTCATATATAATAAAACAGGTTGTGATACAGGAACATAAAGAAATCTCAAAAAACATAACGTTAAATGGAAAAAAAAAACATAAATATTTCTGCATAGCAGAGATAATGGGGGTCATGTAGATGAGCACATGGAAAACAGCAGCATTTCAAGAACACACATATTTAATAAGTAAATGGAAGATGCACTAGGAAGACATCCAGTAAACACACTAAAATGAGCAGCTATGGAAAGGGAATTTTTGAAAAAGAAATGAAGACAGCATATTGATAATATTCTAACAAATTGAGAAGTATGTTCAATTTGATTCTGTCTGATAGAGGAGAAATTGGAAAAAACAAAGAAGAAAAAGATAAGAAAACAAAAGAAATAAATCTTAGCCTCTTGACATTGTAAAAACACAAATTGGTATTTTTAAAAACTTTCCCCATAAAACAATTCACATTTGAATATTTTTAAAAAATGATTCTTTTTTAATTTTTTTTTTCAGATATACAGTGTCACCAGCCACATTTTTCCACATGAACTGGAGCTCACTGATTAGTAGGTACTTCTTCTTTTTTTTTTTAATCATTTCAGTCATCTCTATAATAAATTCTGTTTAGACAAAAGCTTGATAATCTTACAGGTTTGAGATTTTTAACACAATTTTTCATATCTCTGTTTGTATATAAAGTATATTCACACCAATTCATGTCTTCATACATGTACTTTGGATAATGATGTCCATCACATTCCACCATCATTGCTAACCCCATGCCCCCTCCTACCTCTCTGCCCTATCTAGAGTTCCTCTATTCCTCTCATGCTCCCCCCTCCCTACCCCACTGTGAATCAGCCTCCTTATATCAGAGAAAACCTTCAGTATTTGTTTTTTAGGGATTGGCTAACTTCACTTAGCATTATCTTCTCCAAATCCATCCATTTACCTGCATATGCCATGATTTTATTCTCTTTTATTCCTGAGTAATATTCCATTGTGTATATATGTCACATTTTTTTATCCATTCATCTATTGAAGGGCATCTATGTTGGTTCCACTGTTTGGCTATTGTGAATTGTGCTGCTATAAATACTGATGTGGCTGTGTCCCTGTAGTATGCTGTTTTTAAGTCCTTTGGGTATAGACCGAGGAGAGGGATAGCTGGGTCAAATGGTGGTTCCATTCCAAGTTTTCCTGATTGGTAGCTTCTTATAATCTTGAGTTCATCTAAAATTTGTCATTATTAAAATCAGTGAAGGTCTCTAAATTATTCACAAGGCTATTTTCTCTGTCAAATGATTTATCTCCATATTCAGTAGAAATTCAGTGATTCCAAAAGACTATAATTTGTCATTATTAACCCTGTGTCTCTAAATATGGATATAATTTTCTTCTTTCCTTTCTGTTTTTTTAAGTCTCACGTTCAAGGGCTTTATAGATTCATTTAAGGGGGGAAAAGCTGTATGTTAAACAAAACCTCAGAACTGTGACGCAGACACAGTTTTATAAACATTTTGGAGGTGGTTTTCTGGGTTTTTTTGGTTTTGAAGTTTTTCTCTCTCTCTTTTTTTTATAATATGTTTTTAGCTTTTTCTAGCATTATTATCCTTCCAACACATGGTTTAGAAAGTAGGACTTTGCCATAATGTGTTTTAACAAATCTCCCACAACTAGACATTTTGATTATTTCTAGGTCTTCACTCTTCTAAATAATGCTGCAGTAAACATAAAATGGGTGTAGTTTAATTTTAAAAGGGGGATGAGGAAGTTTAAAATGGGAGCACATTAAAATAAATCATGCTTCCAAGAAAACCTGCCAGGGCTCAGATATCATTTGCTCATTTGTCAGATGCTAGACTTCATCACTCTGTGTGGACCTTAAACTGGCTGCAATTTTCAGATTAGCAAAACACACTTGGCATTTTGTGCAAGCAAGTAAAAACAGTTCATGTTCGGAATATGACCATTTTGAAAATACAACTCTGATAGGTGAAGACTTAGGGGAAGGCTTGCACACTCTTTTTCACAGTGAAAAAAATCCAGCATAGTCCAACACTCTCCCTCACTCAGTTCAGATGTCCTGGATGAAATGCAGGATAATGGAAGCATGCTTTACAGAAGCATGGAAGAGCTGAACTGGGGTTTATTGCAAAACAAGACAATCTAATTCAACAAAAATGACACAATACACTGCCCTGTGTTCTATAGTACATACAAAAGTGAATAAGACCAGTTCCTGATTTCAAGGCACTTAATCTGGTAGTGGCAAAAGGAAGGGTTAAATAGCTCTTTTAGAGGTGAAAATATGTTAATATAACATGCCAGCTTTTTTAAGGAATCCTTTTGTAGGAAAAATTACACTTACAAAAGTGAACCCCTTTGGGAATTGGGCAAATACATGGGATACAGAAGGAATGGGAGCAGGATTTCATGGTATGTCCAGAAATGAACAGCAATCCTTGCCCCAAAATTACAACAAAACCAATAAAAATTCAAACCCAAGGAATAAGTTAAGGACTAAAGAGTGATGTCAACAGAAATACACACAAAGAACTAGGAGGAATCAAAGAAAAGAGAGACACCTATTGTTGGGGGGAAATCATAAATACCTTCAGGTACAAGATGGCATCTGAGACAGACTTGGTATGAAAATGAGATGTCAGCAGTTGTGGGAACATCAATGTTCCCTGGGACTCTCTATCATGCCTATTGCACAAGGTAAGGTCAACCACAAAATTTAACCTTTCCCTAATTTAAAAACTGCAGGGGATACAGGAAAGGGTGATGCATGACGTAGACCTGCAATCTCCCAGAACATACGACACACCCCTAATGACAAAAGGCAATGCCTGCCCTATGGATAAAAAGTCACAAAGACATCAGTGCCACCAAAGGAGTTTCTCCACCAAAGGCCACACTTTTCATCACTCCTGTTTACCAACTGCATACCTGCAAGTAAAGACTGCATGTAGGAATGACTACAGTAGGGAGGACAGCTAGGGGAAGATACAGGAAGGAAGAGGAGGCTTGATCAGACTACTTCTCAAACCTGGATAAACATCAAGATAAACTAACTACTGACCCTATCCACCTGCTTTTGGTGGGTCTTATTCAATAGATTTAAGAGGTAGGGGAATCTATGTTTTGCAAAAGCTCTTTAAAGTTTAGTCAGGCTTAGATTCACCAGTATAATATGAAATCCCTGGCTTCATTTTAGATTCAGAATGAACATATAGATGTAAATGTAGATATATGTATATAGTTTCTCAGTATAAATGTGAAGATAAATCACTGTTTTGCTTAACATAGATCAACCTCAGTTTTCCCATCTGAAAAACAGGATCAAACTAAAAAAAATTTTTTTAGATCCTTCACAGTTCTAAAATAGTTTGATTTCAGAGCTTAATTGAGAGCTTAAAAGAAAAATTAAATCAAGGGGGAATAAAACACCCCATCTGGCCTTACTGAATTGTTGTGAAAAAGTTTTAGATTCTAAATTGCTTTTTATATACAGTTTTCTTTTTCCTGGTCTCCTTTTATCATAATACTCTCTTTAAACTTACAGAAATGGCGTATGTATATTTTTTAAATTGCCAGAAGTAATATAAATGTCAGAATTCTGTTTTACATAAGACAAAAATAGCAACAGTAAAACATGCAACATTACAAAGCACATGTGATTGACACAGGATATAAGCACTTCATTTTCATGCCCTTTAAACACTCATGGACCGTGGTGTTCTCCTTGAATGGGGCTTGTTTATTTTTTTTTCTTTTTACTTTATTGGTTGTTTTTAGTTACATATAACATAAGGATTCATTATTACATAATTATAAAAGCAAGGAATGTCATTTGCTCTAATTCAGTCCCCAGCACTTCCCCTTTCCCTGCCCTTGTCCCTTCCCTCTTCCTTTCCCTCAACTCCGCTGATCTTGATTTTCTTTAAAACACTGTTAGTCCCTCCACAGGTGCTGAATCCTTCAGTGGTTCTCTGACATGGGATGCTCCTCTGAACCCTCAGCATCTTTACCAGCTCCCGGCTCATTGAAACTGATCAAAAAGTATTTGTTGAATGAATGAATGAATTCACAGATATGCAAAAATCTCTCTCTTTGCAAAAGTTAACAATGACTCTTTAAACTACATATTTCCATTGACAATCCAGTCTTCTTAGTTTACTAATATAAGTTTTACCCTATAGATTGTATATGTGAGTCCAAATAAGGAGAAAGCTTTCAGTTACTTTCAGAAGAGTGTTCAATTTTAGAAAAGATTCCTAACTTTTTCCATGACATACCTGCAAGTGCTGCTTTTCTGCATGACGTCAGCTCGATGATACCCAGAGAGTTTACAAAAACCGTCATTACTGTAAACTACAGGCCAATCCACAATCTGGGCATTTCCCAGTAAGAAACTTGATTCTAAGGAAGAAAGAAACAAAGGAAGTTACTTAGCCTTATTTAACAATTTACTTCTTTCAAGTAATCAAAGAGGCAAATTCAAAAAGAAGGCTGATTATGGTACAAGTAATCTAACCTATGAAATCAATATAGCATGATGATCAATGAGATCTGCAATACATACAAGATTTATACACAAACTAAAAATGCCATTTAAAGAAACTATAATAACTCTTTGCATTCAAGTACACCCTATGTTATGAAAACAATGTGTGATTACTACTATAATATTATTGACTATAATAATTACACTTAAAATGGGTTAATTTATTAAGACCCTATGGGCACTTTTCCAAAAATACTTGACAACAGAGGCAAATTGTGTGACCCCTCTCCAAAAATTCTTTTAATACAATTTTGAAATTATGGGGCAAATTCTTTATATATTAGATTGATCTTGAGAAGTATAATTTTAAATAGCTAAAAGGGGTATTCTTTTCAGTAGAATGAATCAGACATTACTTTTCTGTAATCATATATGAATACACAACCAGTGTAATTTCATATCTCATACAACCACAAGAATGGAAAGTTATACTCCATGGATGTATAATATGTCAAAGTACATTCTATTGTCATGGATAGCTAAAAAGAACAAATTTTAAAAATTAAAAAATAAAGGGTCTTCTTTTAAAATAAAATTATTCAAAGATACTACTGTCTACCACATATTACACAGAATTTAGAAACTGCCAGTATTACATATAAGAAATATCTCTGCTTTATTAATATAGAAAAGTAGGTTTGCTTCAGGTATAAAATTAACACAAAAAACAAATATCTTTGTGTATCAACCTTGATTAAAAATCCAATCATTTCAGGCAGCAACTTTAAGCAGTCTTATAGATAACATGACAATAAATTAAAATTAATATTAAAATATTAACATAAAAATGAAAAATATTTTAAAATAAAAATCTTTAAAGAGTAAAAATTCTAAAATGAATACAGTACTCCAAACTTATCTCAAAAAAAAATCTCCCTTGGGCTCATATTCAGGGTAGTATACTCAAAATAAAAATGGGCTTATGAGTAGCAGACTTGAAGTCCTGTCTCAAAGTTAGTCTTTATAAAAATAATAATGCAATTCAACATTTGCTAAGTAGTAGTTACTACTTAAAATTGATTGCTCTTGATTAGACAATGGAATAGAATAAAGATTAATATACCCTTGGCTCTCAACAAATTTACATGTTAAGAAAAATAAGTGTATAACAACCAAATCCAACTTAGGAGAATAGATACTAATTCAAGAAGCACAGAAAACATATGAGAAAAAACCTTTTGAGAACACTAGGAAAAAAAACAAAAGTGGGCAGAAACTGGTAAAAAAAAATTAAACACTGAAAAAATAGATATATATCAGGTGAGACACTCATTTAACTTTGTCCATCCCAAGAGGACTTCCCAGTTTGGACAGTTTATTGAATGATACAGCCCCAGCAGAAATGTCTTTTAAGGTGAAGGAGTCAAAGGCCATAGTCCTAACTACAAAAGTACAAACTAGGAAACTTCTAGAAGAAAACATAGGAGAAAATCTTGCAATATGGAGGGAGACAAAAATTTCTTATATAAGATTCATTTAGCAATCACCATAAAAAAAGATGCCAAATTAGGCTTCAATAAAATTAAAATCAACTAAGCATTCAAGGATACTGTACAGAAAATAAAATAGAAAACTACAGCCTAGGAGAAAATATTCACAATATACACATCCAATAAGAACTCCAGAATATATTTTTAAAAATTCCTACCAAAGATCAAACAACCTAATCGACAAAATAAACAAATGACTTGAACAGATATTTCACTAAATAAGATATGCAGGAGTAGTAAGCACAAAATATGACTTCACAATCATCAGGCATGAAGGGGGTGACAACTAAAATCACTGTGCTATACCACTGCTCAACCACCAGAGTACTTACAAAGGCTAACACCACAAAACGAGCATGAGAATCTGAAGCAATTGGATGACTTTATAAAATGCTCATGAAAATCTACAATAGTATGATTGCTTTGGAAAACAGTCTCTTGTACAGTTAAATATTCATCTATGACCCAGAAACTTCACCCCTAGATATTTATTCAAGTGAAATAAAAGCATATGTTAACAAAAAGACTTGCAGAAAAATGTTCACATCAGATTCATTCATAGGAGCCAACACATTGGAAACAATGCAAATGTTCATCAACAAGAGAACAGATTCCAAATTGTGCCATATTCATACAAGAAATAACACTTAGCTCTAAAGTGGAACAAACTTCTGATACAGTTAACAACATGCAGGAATCTCAAACACATTATGATGACCAAAAGAAGCCAAATACTTAAGTAGGTATACTGTATAATTTCATCCATATAAAACTTGAATACAGAAAAAGCTAATATAGTAAAAGGGATCAGAACAAGGATTTCTTTCTTTGTTTATGATAAATGCTTAAGGTAATGGATATGCTAATTACCCAGAACAACAATTTCTGAAGGAAATAAACAGGGGACTCATAGCAAAAAGGCGAAAAAAGAACATTCTGGGAGATTTCATTGTTCTCTATGATGGCATAACTTGCACAGGTTAACGTATTTGTCATTGAACTGTATACTTGTAATCTGTGCATTTTACTGCATATAAATTTAAAAGAAAACCCAAGGAGGAGAGTGGATAATCCCTTTTGACCAGAGAATCAGGAGTTTCAGGAAAACAGTGATATCTGAGCTGAGGCTTAGCTATGAGAATGGTAATATTATCTCTCCATGGAACCTACAGCAGTTACAGTGAAGATCAAAATGAGGCAATTGCTGCAAAAATCCTTCAGAAAGCATAGACTCCTCTATAAATATATCATATTTTCCTTTATATGTAGTATCAATTATAAATATGATCATCAAAAAATGTCCTTTCCCCTCTTATCCCAGGCCAGTTTATCCTCTCTAATCCATAATGGCCCAGCACACAGCCACCCAGTCTCCCTGCTTTAACTCCTTCTGATTTTCACTCTCGTGCTCAAATTGACCCCTTGGAAGCCTCCTCCATCCTAGCCTCCTCAAGAATCCAAACAACTTACATCATCAAATCTCCAATCCCCTTCCAGACTTACAGAGCCCTCTGAAATCTAGCCTCATCTTTCTACTAATGCAAACATATGTCTCATTAATTAAAGTCCATGTGTCACTGCAGTTATGTCCGTTTCTTCACTGTGTTCCCAAAACATGCTCACTCATGATGCTCACTACTCAGTCAAAACACTTTCCCTCCACCTTTAGTCTACCAAACATGGTACTTTTCACTTGCGATCCTCCATACTTACACACCATTTCTTCCCCTAAACATCTACTTTTATTCAGATATGAACTGGCATGTCTTCAGGGCATCTTTCCTGACTAGGTCACATCTATTGTTACATAATATTTTTTTGGACATGATTTACCTCTTCTGATACTCTTTAGCAACCCAGTATTTTTCAGACATTTTTTTTAACTGAAGCTCAATTGTAAGAAATAAATAATAAGGTATAGACATATACAAAATGTGTACAGGCATGAACACACATGAACATACAACTGAAAAATTTCTGACGACAACACTTACTGCATGACATGTACTCTACCATTTTCTGTTCTATTTCAGTTTGAGATGTGTAAGTCAAAACCCATTACATCAATTTCACACCTCAATGAAGGGTTGCATCTCATGGTTTTAAAAACATGTCTGAAGCAAACCTCCAAAGCTTTGCAGGCCTCCCTCTCTCATAAACAAACTTGTTTTTAAAGACAAATGCGAGGTTTAAATCAGGAGCTCTAATTGTTACTAGTCAACTCTACAATTAAAATCCTACCCTTTCTTCCCCAACATACCACTCTTAATAGCTCTGCAATGGAAAAGCAGGGTCCAGCTCAGCAGCACCCAACTATCACTACCCATTTGTTGTCGATAACATTATTTCACTTATATGCCAATAAAAATAACTCTGCCCGATAACAGAATTAATAACAAAAGCAACTATGAGTAAATCATGTCCAAAAAAAATAATTATGTAACAAGGGATGTGACCTAGTCAGGAAACATGCCCTGAAGTCATGCCGGTTCAAATCTATATAAAAGTAAATGTCAACAGGTTGGGAAGGGGAAGAAATGGTGTTTAGGTATCGAGGATCGAAGTGAAAAGTACCATGGTTGGCAGGCCAAAGGTGGAGGGAAAGTATTTTGACTGAGTAGTGGGCATCATGAGTAAGTATGTTTGGGGAACACACTGTGCTAGGACTTGGGCCTGATGCTGTCCCTGCTACCTGCAACCCAGGAAACAACTCCCTCTCCCTTCTACTGATCGCTCACAAACAATAAGCCAGAAACTTACAAAGCCCAGACTACCAAAAGGAGAAGCAGCAACTAGAACACATGTTCCCTAAATTCTAATTCTTGCCTGAAAGATCTGTAAATTCAAACTCTTTCTAGGGGAAACTGTGTCTCTTTTTTTGCTTTAGATAGAAAAATAGGAAGATTAGGCATGAAGGGGAAGACCTAAAGCAACTTCCTGCATGGAAGATTAATTCTCCTTATTGGCTTCAAGGCAGACTTATGTAGGGGGAAAAAAAATGAAAGTTTTATCAAAAGTGGCTAGTGGAGATTTTCCATTACTTCAAAACCATTTTTAAAAGATCTATTGGATCTTAACCAATAACACAGAATAAGAACAATTTAGATATCTGCCAGGTATGTTCTATAGTATCTGTTTGCATATTCAATCAGACCTAGAAACTCAGCATTTTTTAAAACCAACTTAAAGTTCAAAAGAATAGAAACGTGCTTTCCATTCATATTTATACTTTATGATTGAGTTCAGTAACTTAGACCATCAAAGAGTGACATCATTGGACCAGTCCTCCCCAGTCCCTACCATAAAGCTTTAAGGATTGCTCTTTAATAATATGCACTCTGGGTCTATGGAGGACAAATAAAAGA